AGGTAAATCTCTTTACCTTTAATTCGTTGTTCATAAGAAGTAAAAGCAAAATAAAAACACAGGTAGTGAACTATAAATAACAAAAACCACATACTTCAAGAGCGCTCAGAACTCGGCTAATCTAAACAAGAGCAGAATTCTCTCAATTCTTGGACAAATCCCTAAATTGGACTGAAGGGAATAACAACCTTTTATCCAATTTGAAAAATTCCTTCAATACTGTGTAATCTTTGACCAAATAACTTGCGTTTACTCAGACAACATTTTTAATCAACGCTAAAATATGAAATTCAAAAAGTTGTCTCGCTCGGTGAAACAAAAGAAAAGGGTTGCTAAACTCGTGTAAAGTTGTTCATTTGCCGTACAGTTAAAGCGTGAAGCTTAAAATACAGATATGAATTCTCAACCCGCCTGAAGCACGGACAAAGTTAATACTTATTTTGCAACATACAAGTGCTAATGAGATCAACGTTATCAGCCGTCGACATTCAAAAACGCCTTCACAAGTGCTACAGGCGTTAAAAGAATTAATCAAACGTGAGTGAAACTGTTATAACCTCCGTATGATACCAGTATATTCGAACATTTGTCCACGTTCCTGGCGCGTGTGTAACAAATACTCCACAAAAAAACACAACTGCTACATGGAAACCGTTTGGGACTTGCGCTAGACAGATCGGATCAAATTAAAACAATTTTACCCCAACACAATCTTACACAATGGAGAGGGATTTCCCTAACCCAAGCTAACAGCTAAATTTAGTTTTGTAGCCTTTTAAAAATAGCACTCACTGACGCCGAAGAATTCAACCTCGGCTCAAAGATTTCGCAATGTCATATTTAGATAACTCTGCGTATAGACATAAAAAATATTTACACGTTTTGTTGTTCTTGATTTGATGGTGTTCGTAAGTTTCAACAATTTTAGATTTTCTAACAAAACACGGAAACTTGCGAAAGGTACACGACACTGGACGCTATGTGTGTATGTATATATACATCTCATTTTTTTCGTAATTGTCAATTTTATTTCAGTTATACGTGAGTTTCAATTATAATCCTTTTTGCAGGAAAATAGTGTAAAAGTTAATTGACTCTCTCAAACTGCATCAAAGTATTATAAGAATTTCCTTTTTGAAAAGCGATAAAACTCTCCTCTTCGTTCATGCGATTTACGGGTTCTTTATAAACCGACTTTTAGATTCTTTTCACAGCTCTTTTCAGAAAATTAAATCAATTACCGACCAAATAGAATTAATTCATTTGATAACGAACTATGTGGGAAATTCACGCCTTTATGATGACCTTTTCTATTTTCAACCTTTGAGTTAGGATTGCTGTGAAGGTTAGAAATACCGAAAGTAAACAGGTTTGCCCCACGAAACATATGTTGTACCATAGAGAATTCTCTACAAGCTTTCTTTTTTTCGTTCAATATTTAGTTAAGATCTGGTATGGCTTAGAACACTGCAAAGCCGATTGAGATTTTAGCTGTTTAGCCTCACACAAACAGGCAAAGTAAACACGGGATGATTTTAACGGGGATTATTTAGTTAATAGCGATTAATCTTGGTAATTTTATATTTCAAAAGGCGTTAAAACGTGACCCGAGCGTGAATTTTTCCAGAAATTCCTTCTGGAGAAATTCAGACAATATGTAAACAACTTTGTAGAGACAAATTATGTGGAACTTTTCAGGGAGAGGAAATTTGCGACTTTGCAACATGGAATCGTAAACGTAAATAGAAGTTACTTTCATCTGAAGGAAACGTTCAATTAACTATCTAAATGCTGTTAAAGATTTTGAGGTGAAAACCAGTAAGAAAATTATAGTCAATTTTACTGTTTAATCCTAAAATCTCCCTTCGTTTTATTGGGTATTATTAGCGATTTAGTAAGGAGAATTCAGAACTACATCTTTCGTTGGCTTACCTAGATCTTTTAAGCTGTTAAGTCGCTCGAACACTGTAACTGATAGTATATACTTGTGAAACAATGGATCCGAAATTTTTATTTCTCAGAAGAGTATCCGAGATGAATAAAATAAAATACTTAAAAGAATTTTAAGTTTAACCGCGGTGCTTTCAGAGGCTTAAATTTTTCAAAAATGCCGGTACTTGTTCATTGTTTTTGTATCAAGAGCAGTAAGCGGTACAGTTGCTTCAAAGTCCGCTTAACTGTGATCCAAATACCTTTGGGTAGTTTTAAGACATTCTGCATCATTAATTTTCGTGGGATGGAACTGTCGCGGGCTTGTAAGTCCTGCTGAAGATTTAAAAAATGTGGGGCATGTGTTTTTCAATATTTGACGTTATCAAGAATTATTTTTCTCGGAGGTTAATTCTGATAGCCATGAAGAAAAGGGACAGCTCTCCGAATGGAACAATGTTGAACACTGATCAGAAATCTTTCACAAAGAAAAATATGATTCTCATTGCAGAGTATTCGGGCCGAAACTAAGTGCTGTTTTGAGGTCGAATACTTTATAAGAAGACCGAGTTATTGAGAACTAAATGGTATGTTACACCTAACACTGGACGAATTCAAATTCATTTTCGGTCATGGACCCCTTAAAAACCCCTAGATGAATTCGCTAAAGCGGAAAAAATCAACCTTATCTAACATCTGATTATGTTATCTCTTAAGTCTTCTATATGTTTTGCTTTGAAGTATACGTAGTTCCTCCGTAACCTCATTTGGTGACATGTTAATTTGAGATGGATCTACCACAGACCCTAGAGGGCGGATTCGATTCGAAACCGCCAGATCGCATTTCATTTCACGCCAAACCACCCACTTATTTTAAACCGTAATGCACAGAGCTACACATATTTTTGATAACATGACGTAATTTCCTACCAAATACCTTACTTTGTTTAAGTCGACGGAATGAGAAAGTGTATATTAAGCGTCGTGTTGATATAGGATCTCTCTATTGCTACAGCGACAGACATCAAATTGAATCCACAAATTTTGGCCAGAATACTCGACTAATAAACCAAATGCCTTCGCAAGGATGACCTATCGGTTCTTTCGTTGAGTGATGAAAAAAGGAGATTGAAAGAAACTCTCTTCTTTAGACGAAATATACAGTAATATATTGTTAACATTAAAGTGGCTAATTTGCCGTCATGGCTACAATCTACGAATTAACCTTGTTTCTGAATATAAAAACATATGGTGAATTAAAGAATCGGTCTTGGAGAAAATCACATCACTTTTAGACCCGTGACAAACACAAGCAAGAGAAACATTAATATGATTAAAAGATCTGTGAAAGTATCATCAATCACGTCCGCGCGCCAAAGTATTTTGATGTTGTTTAACTATATAACTTGCTATCTAATTCGCGCCGTTTACCGTCTAGTGACCTAAGACGTTCGCGCAAATAAGCACCACAAGCGAGTTTTCCTTAAGTCAATATACACCTCTGTAAACATCGTGTTTACTCTTCATTTGCGCTGGAGATCGGCTTAGTTAAGCAAACAGTTCATTCTGCCAACGATTTCTAGCGGAAGGTAACCAGTTTTGCTCATGAAAACAACCTTGCGCGCATAAAGTCACGTTCGCTCTTTTGCGATGATCGCAAAATGTTTTTTTCGTGTGCTGATGTCAATCTGCAAGAGCTTCTAATGAGAATACGTCGTTTTTTGATTGACCACTTCTTTATTAGGTTGGATAACAAACTGCGGAAGGCCCCCTGGTTTCGGAAATTGCAGAATAATTGTCCTAACACAACACGCTCACTTTGATGTAATTGCGCAGACAAATATACACTTCCAGTCACGAAAATTCCGCAGATACCTCCGGTTCCCTACTGCTTTCCATCACATGGGATTTAACAGCATAGAATGATAGCTCAGACGATCTAATTCCACCATACTCGCAATCAGTAGGATGGACAGATAAGAGCGAAAAACTCCACTAATGAAACACAACACGTTTTGGATGCACTTTGCTGATTCAGTTTACGCTGATTCGCTCTTGAAAAACTACTCAGGAGGTTCAATTATAGACTATTTTAACTTAACCGAAGGATCTGGTCCGATTTTTCAGTACGTGTTTGTTTTTACGTGTTTAAAGGTTGACAGCAATAGCGAAAATGTGGTCACGATTTTGAAACTCTGTTAATAAGATAATATCCTTTGCTGTTATTTCAAAAAGGTATTACTCGAACTATAGCTTTATCTCCTATACAAGGCGTGTTTTCAGCGCCATTAGTATTGATCCATGAGTTCTAAGAGGAATGTTCAAATTGTTGATGAGTAGGTTGTTGTTGTAATATTGCACACATCTTTTCGCTTCGTTTGAGAACGACAAATTTGACGCGTGAATGAATTTACGGTTAGTGTATTTCTAAGTGCCCTTGTGACCTCTTCAAACCGAGAACACGTCGACATTAGCTTGAAACCTTAGTATATTTTAATTTCCCCATTGTTAATAAGACAAGTTAACTCAACAATTCTATTTACGAGCGTTAGTATCTTGCCGCTTACAAAGTGCCCACACCCCGTGAAACACCATCAACTTAAAGTACGAGTTGTGCGACACGCGAAATAAACGCCGGGCATCTGTTGAGTTCACTCAATAACGTATTTAATGTGCCTGACAAATGATGCTTTCACATTGTCATTGGCTACAGTGAGCGCTAAAACAAGATGCACACAGCAGTGAGGCTTTGTTATCACGAGCTGTTAAGTAAACTACTTTGTTTATTGTGTATGGAAGCACCGCTGGGTAACATAAACTTTCGAGTTTTCAAACATAACAAGACGTCAAAAATTGCCCCCCCTACGTTCGCAGCGGGAAGACAAAAACGGGAAAGTAAGATATATTGTCCCGTGTCAGCGCAGATAAAATGTATTTTCAACGTCCAAAGGCAATCTGTCACTCGCCTATTAATAACGCTGTAAAAATGGGTTTTCTATGTAAACTGCAGAGAACCGGAAACAAGAGAAACACGACAGAACTAGCAAAACCACTAATGTTTTTCCTCTTACCTGGATTCCTCCAAAGAAACAAAGAATTTGTAGAGTCATCAGCGTGGAAAGGGCCACTAGATGAATCATGGTCTCCATTGCTGAATGCTTTCAATTTGCTTATGGATCTGAGTTGCTGTGGAGTGCTGAACTTGTGCGCAACCTTAACTCCGAGCCCTCTTCAAACCAACTGACACTGTGATGATCTCCCGGCAGACCAAATCTCGATTGCTTCAGATATTGTGTTACACCCTAGCTGCGGAGACACAATTTCAGTAATCGTTTCTAAACAAAAATATCGCGACCCATTACGAGTAATCGAGACTGTTTGTTTAACAATGTCCGTTGACGTGTTGCATTTGTTCGCGGGCAGCTATGCGCACAGAGTGGTTAAATCGGCTTTGCTGTTAAATCGTTCAGTCGCGACTAGCCGTCAGGAGAGCTGGTTGGTTCCGATTTGTACAACTTCTAAGAGCTTCTAAGCGCACGATATTGCACGAGGCAAGACTTTATGTTCGGGATCTTTTAACGCCGAGTGCATTCCGCTGGTCTTATCTCTAAAGACTTGTATAATTGTTTACAGCTAGCGGGAAGTACTGTACTGGTTGCGACAGAGATAAGCCTAAGAGCTTGCGCAGCGGAAGGTCCAAAGATGACCCATTTCTTTTTCTGTGATCAGACAAGTAATCGGAAAAGAGCAAATTCAGAGTTCTATTCTACTGATCGTCTGCGCGTTTTGTCTTCGCTTACATGACAAAAAGTTAATTACAACCAATAAAAGGAAACCTTTTCCATAAGGGAGTTATGTTACGCCGATGTGAAGGGAATCATTTGTCAATCAAAATTGCTGATATCAAGTGTCGTGTGCAATAAAGTTTGGAAGTGTCTTTAGTTTCTCAATGCCCTGTGCGCGTTTTCTCCCCTCTTGATAATCGCCTTCTCTCGGTAATCTATCATTTTCCTTTCCATAATCTGTAGAAATAAGACTGTAGAGTTTCGAGAAAGACAGTTGCTAACGCAGTTGGCGAGGTAGTGCCAGATCGACCAATCAAAAGAGGGCTTCTGATCTAAAAACGCTGTAATGCACGATAAAAAGTTCAATTGGGTCTGGGAAATGTTAAGGGTCTCCACAATAAAACTAAGGATCAGACAAACTAAAATAGAAATTCCGAGCGGTTTTATATTTTATAACACTTAATCGTCTCTAATCGGTTGTTCTCTTTCAAATAATAACGCTCTTAGCACCAAACAAAAGGGAAAATACCCGTCGCCATGTCTCCGGCTCGACAGCGTATTTGAGGACGTTTTCGAAAGGGGATTTTAAGCCCACACAACAAGGTTTCAGTCCGTCGATCTTTTAAGCCATGCTACTTTCATCTCTCCCCTCGCGAGTGGATTACGATACGGGGAAAAATATTCGAAAAAAACTAATAAACTCAGCCAATGATATGCATATGCAAACGTGAAAGAGATATGAGAGCAGGAGGAAAAAAGGTTAATTTAAAAAACACCTCCTGTGATGAACAATGTAACTGTATAATAAAACTCAGACGAAAAATTCTGACGTTTCCGAAATATGGCAATAAGAATTTCCTATCAAAGTTTTAAGAGAGATTCTCCGATTTTATCTTCTGTATTAGACACGCATATATTAAAATCCAAACTAACAAGGCTCAGGAAGACTCCACTCAAAATCGGACGATTTCATCTTCATTTTATGGGCGTTTGCAAAGTAAGTAATGATTTTCATTTTGAAGGGGTAACGACAAGGCACTCATTGTATGACAAGCACTTTCGTAACTGCTTCATTTTCCGTTAGAAACCACAGAGGAATTTACTGTCATTTGCTTATCTGCAAATCGTATATTGATGAAAAACTTCTCCGGAAACCTGGTAACTGCGTGCGAATATTTATTGTGATTACAACAGCAGCGCTTCTTTGAATGATCAATAAACTATTCAGACTCCAATTTGTCTTCGATTTGTCACAATACAGTCTTTTGGCCGGAAAGACTCTTCATAAGCACTTTAGCGCCTCGCCTTTTTCATTAGCTACACGGGTGACCTATTAATGGAAACAATAGGAAAATCGTCTCACAAGTTAGGAACATCAGTTAAGCAATTTTTCTTAAGAACAACTAACCGCATTTTCTCACGGCTTACCGTAACAGGTGACATTTTTATCTTCGGTTTTTATTCCTTCCCAGCCATTGTGTCTTCCGCGACGCGCAGAGTTTCGTTTTTGAAATACCTAAGTTGAAAATTTCTCCAACGCTGTTTCCCCTCACCGCCAAGAAATTTGTAAACAACAGGGAAGCAATGTTTCTCGCCCGTTAAAATGAAATCTGCTCGCAGGTTAGCGAAGGGAACGGCGGTGAATCGAAATTTGTCAGTATTTCGTCCGGCAGAACACAGAACTGAAGAAACTATCGTTCGATTGATGACACAAAGAGAAAATACATTGGTCGAAAGCACCTTGTTGTTGTATTTCAGAGAGGAAATATCACTGTTTGGCACAGGTGACGTCACTGATATTCCATGACCTGGGCGTTACCAAACGTTTGGCAATGACTTGTTGTTCTCCAAGAGACTTAAAGTGTTAGTTCATTTTATGACCCTTATACCACGACAAGAACCACTTAATATTGTGCTGATCTTCATGAGACTGAAACGTCTAACTTACAGTAATTCGTTTTCTGTTTCCATGAGCTGCGGTCACGAATGAAAAATTTCGAAAACTTTTAAAGAAACTGACAAACGGATTTGTACTTACGTAGAGAACGCACTTTCTTTTAAACAATATTGTTCACCGATCAGTAGGAAACCTATGACGATGCAGAAACTGTGTCCGCGGTGATCCACAATTGTTGTTATTCTAGCTAGTGGCTTAATCTGATGAAATTTACAGCGCAGCTTATATAAATACACCCGATTACGTCAATAAATCGAGAAAGGAATTTTCAATCTCGATTGCTGGCTCCCATGCAGTTCTGATTTGAGAAAAACATCCTGTATTCGTCGGCGGCACAATTTTGTAAACTTACCATGGTATAATGTAAACAGCAAAGGATGTTTGCACCGTTTTGCGTGCAAAACCTTTCCCCCCCCCCTCCCGGCTCCTCCTCTTTTGGCTACTTGTACCTCGTTGACAAACTGAATTATGTTCAACAGTTACTTCTCGCGAGTTTTATGTGAAAACTGCAACAAGCTACGATTTGGTGCCACGAAGTTTGTTTTAATAATTATTCTGTCTTCATGAAAAGGACTCAAAGCTCTAAAAGTCATGTGCTTTTTCCGAAAAACCAAGCCATGAGGCTCGGTTGTTGAAAATCCTCCGGGAAAACTGAAACGCTCTGTAACCAGATCACAGGCGCCGTAAAGATCCGTAAGATTTGATTTCGCGAACATACTTTCCTCACGGGCGCGCGACCGTCTTCCGGCTCAGCACAAAATTAACTTGCAAACCCCAAACCCTCACACGGACAGACACACAAAAATCCGTTATGAATGCATCGAATTTTTGCCAAGATATTCTTAGAAGATCGTTATCAACCGTTACAGTCATAGCCCGCTAGACACTGAATTCCGCTCATGTGTGTGTTCTGAAAGAATGTAGACTTGGATGACTGTGTATTTTTTTTCCAGTGGCGTTTGACGGATTTATTTGGCGGCGCAGGGCACGCATTACATGCTCTATAATTTTAATTTCGTTATCGTGATATGTTGTACTCATTTAAATAAGTTTTTAGGATTGTTGTTTTAAAGTGATTTGTTCCTTTGACGACAAGATCAAGAATCTCGAGAATTCTCGATATGGTGGGGGGGGGTCTGGGGGGGGAATGGTAGATTAGTGGGGGAGACAAGGACAAATTTCCCTCTCAAAGTTGCGTACGTGATGGAGTTGCAAAAATCAAGAAATTTGGTAGAGTTTTGAAACTGAATAGTCGTTTTACAATCTGTTTTTGTTGTTTCGTCTCAAAGCCATATTTGTCGCCAGGGTTTAGAAAGTCTAAGCCTGTCTGTTTTTTTTTCTTGTAAGTTATATGTCGGCTTATCACTGTGATTTTAGCAAAATGGTTGTGAGACCTTGATTTGAAAGAGCATTTCATCACATTTTGTTGTCTGCGTAACACTATTATTATATCTCGCAAGATTGTGTTTACACCAAACTTTTTTTTTGTACATTAATCTCACCCGTTTCTTTGTTTTTCAACCGTCTCTTTGGATATTTCACAACGTTGGTGATCTATATTTCGTCAACGTAGATATTACATGTGCGCGCAGCACTCATTTTTTTCCATCGCGTGCTAGCCAAGCGAAAAAAACGAATTGAAATATTCAGAGGGCAAAAAAATACTAATCAAGTTTACCTTTCAGTTCGACGACTTATACTAATGACTTGTCGATGTGTTTAACTGCAGGACAAAATCACAAAGCTGCGTTTAAAGAGCTGTCGATATGGCTTCGCTGTCTTGAATGACTGGTCAACTGAACGAGTCCCACTGGAGTGTAGTAATGAACTGTTGGGTCTTGATGGCGTCTCAGGGCGACTTCAATCGGCTCTGAAATAGGATTTGAAAAGATCTTCAGTCAACACAGGTCAATGTATCAATGGACCACATCCTCTCGTAACTGAGAGAGGTGCGGGCATATCTAGAATTTCCAATTTCTCATATTGGAGGTTTCGGTTTCACTTAACAATAAGCGGAAACACAGGTTAAAAAACGATTAACCTATATACGGCTTTTCCTTTGTCCAAAAGACTCTTGATATCTTTTTAAGATTAGGCATTCACGACTCAAACAGTTGGAAAGTCATTTGACTTAGCATTTACCAGCGCATTAACCCGTGTTTCCAATCGTCTCGGCCTATTCTCTAAGGGAGTGTCAGCGCCTCCGAGTCTCGTAAGTGAACACTCGAGAGAAAGGATTGATTTATGAATAACCTTTTCTGTTCCTTTGGGTGAAACAATGCACACATTTAATGGATTAAGTTCCTTGTAAAAACTGTTGCATTACTGATCAATTAGGTCGGATGTGTGAAGTAAAGAAGTGAGACTGCTTTTAGATATGACGTGAATTGCTTGAGTGTTAAAGTAATTACAGTTGTATTCAAGTGTAAAAAGTGTAAAAAAAACGAGATGACTGAAGTTAACGATTTCCTCCACATCCTCTCATATTGGAAAGTAATTTAGAGTTCTCCAAAGTTGTTTGCATGTGGAATATTGGTTAACTATGCGGGTGAGGTTCGTAGATCAATAAAATCGTATTAGGTAAGATTAAAACAACAGATTTTCTCGGGTGCTAAGGCGTTAGAATTAAGAAGCATGTTTATATTACAATCTACGTTAATTTTAGTGTCAGATAAGTTTACAACAGAATTTCTGTTGACCAGTCATCTGGCATTAGCATGGCTCCGAAATGACGAAGTTTCTGCTCTAAAGTGACTGTTTTAATCCGTTAACAACAAACATTTATATCCGTCATTGACAACACTAAATGATGAGCAGTGAACACGCACCACGAAAAACTCCTCAATCGACACCCGCATGAAAAACTGGTTCCTACATTTCTAACTAGGATATAAGCTGATTCAAAAGCGACGAAATGAGCTGTAGAATTCATTGTCTTCAAATTCATCCGATTATTTACTGAGCGTATAAGCTAGTTAAATAGGTAAACTGTTCTTAATTCCTTCTCTGAATGGCGTCCTGATCTAGTTAACAAGATCAATACGAGTTCCTTAGCTGGTGCCCCACGGCGAACAAGACTTTTTGGCGCTAAAAAGATGAAATCTGCAAGCTATGGAATGACAACGGAAAGTGGCTAGAGATGCAAGATTCTATTTTAAAGCAGTTAAGAGCATAAAAATACTTCAAAGATAAAGATTGCATAAATCTACAATCGGAGATAATCCTCAAGATCCAAAGTCAGATTTCAAATATTCCATAGAATTTTTTTTCGCTAAGACCTAATATTTTGACGCGTGGCTAGAAACCGGCTTAGCTTAGAGAAGCTTGCATCCCAACCAATTTTCAAATCATTGTGTAAAAAAAAGAAGACATACAAAATGGTGTTTATCGCATACCTGAAGAGAACGGAACAGCACTCTTGAATGTAAATAGTTTAATTGTAAGTGGTAAATAAAGCTAATTGAACTCTGATTTGCGGCGAGATACAACCAATCGTTAGCACTCACAAATTACTGCCAATACTGTAAACAGCCGCCAATATTCAAAGTGGTTATGCTAACATTGCTGAGTCGCATTAATTAATACATCACGTTTTTCAAAATGTCCTGAATTACAAATACATAACGCCGACCAACATCGTTGCGGTGGATGACTCATGCGGCGGCCGCAAAAAAATACGATGTAAAACTATTTTAAACAATGATTGATAACCGTCGAGAGCTCTTTTCCGAGAGGTGTGTGTTTCGTGTCTCCAAGGCCACGCCATTCGTGGTTTTTCGTTCTCTTTGTAATATCTGCGCGCGACGTATTGTCTAACCAACCCCTTGATAATTTACCTTAGGGTCATTAGAAATCATGTCGTGAAGTAAATATCGCCATCTTTATACTGCCGTGGGTTGGGACGTGTTACAGTCTAAAACCCTCACAATACCTGCATGTGCTTTTTACGTGGACCGTTTTTTTTTCTTTCCTTTTTATTTTTTCCTGCGAGCGTGAGAACCACAGCAAATACAGCTGTGAACAGAAACTCTTAACAGCGCAACTTTAACCCGGACAGAAAACATCGTAAACCTCAAGTAGGTTCAAAGGTGCACGGTAACCAAGAGTAAGATGAAAAGTTCTCAATAAAACTTGAGCAAACATACCACGTACTTGAGAAAACGTTGTTTCGCTAAGAGCCTTGTCGTTCTCTCTTGGTAAAGATAGCAGCTCTTCGATGTCATGTAGATGCTAACAAGCTGTGAACTATGTAACAACCTCAAGCTCGTCGGGGAAGTAAGACGTAAACAAATTGCGCGCACGCTTACGACTCGTGCGGTTTATAAGTTTAAAATTTCGTGCCTAGACGTAACGTGTATTGATAGATACCCCGGTAGACATAGCATCTACATCCCATTACGGTATATTTAATTTTTGCTAAATTTGTTCTCTAATACACGAACGCACGGTATTTTCGTGGTATACATTTTGATAAACTGCCACACGATGCAGAATTATAAGTAACTTATTCACTTGTGTGTAGCAGACGCAACTTTACTCTTCAAGACAGTTGAATACAGAACCAAACTGCAAAAGATTCCATGTTTTCTGTTGGATCATGTCGACTTTTCTTTGCGGTAGCATATCCCGCAGATATGCGGAATATAGTAATTAGGTTAATTAATTAAGAATGTCTTAAACTCAAGCACTGTAGCCTTTCTATAATCACGTATCGGGAAATGATTTTCAGCCAAAAAAAAAAAACAAGCAAATCCCAATTCCGCGTTGACAACAGAAGTTGTTACACTGCCACCCGGTAGTTAATTTTGCAGAAACGATTCTTGAACTGTCAAAC